TCATGGTAATGTTGGTGGAAAAGTGACCAATCGATACTGACCTTACGCTGCGGCTCACGCTGGCCACCCGCAGCCCGCGCGGCGCGCCACGTTGAGAACCAAAGCGCAAGCGCGCGACCTTGCGCGGGCAACTTACGCGTGTTTCGTCGCTGTGGGCGCCGATTCTTGGCGCGGAGCTCTTTGCGCAGCTCTGCGATCGTGGCCTTCTGCGTCGCGACGATCTCCACGTAGAGGTCGCACGACTTCTGGGAGTGCTCAAGACCCTTTTTGAGGGTCTTGACTGCCTTCTTGTGGCTCTTCAGCTCGTCCTCGACCGTGACCTTGCACAAGGGCGTCATGGGGATTGATGGGCAAACATTCCCCCGCCACTACCATAGGTACGACTGGGGAGAACGGAGGATGGAGAGGTCCTCCTCCTCCTCCTCCTGCTGACTCCTCCTCATCCTCCTCATCCTCCTCCTCCCTCTCCTACCTATGGTAGTGGTGGTAGGGAATCTGCCCATCAAGGTTGGGTCCGCCGCCGCCGCACAAGACAGGAAAGGATGGGGATGAACATGCCAGCCCCGAACGCATCCCCACCCCTGAGATCGGCGAGCCCCCAGTGGTGGTTTGGCGGGCGGTGAATTTCGGGATGGGGGGGTGGGGCAGAAAGTCGGGGAACCCTTGCGGCAACGAGATCGGCGCCGACGGATGCGGCGCCGATCTCGGGGCAGCAGGGGTTCCCCGATCCCAGAGTTGGGGCGGGGACGCGTACGAGGCTGAGGAAACTCCTCGGCAGCCACCCTCGGTGGCGCGTGCCTTGATGGACAAAAGGCTGCGGACGGAGGAGAGTGGAGTGGGGGGGGGAGAGGGAAGGATAGGCTGTGGTGTGGGTGGGACAAGCCCCCAACTGATGCTTGCTGGCCTGCCGATCACCCGGTAAAAAACTATCTCGTGACCAAGTGTCACGAGATAGTTTTTTACGGGTGAGTGCCGCCATGATTGCAGTATCTACACTGCTCCTATACACTGTCCGAGCTGGATCGAATTGTCATGGATGGTCATTGGCACTTAGCACTGCTAAGCGCCAATGACCATCCATGACAGGCCGCAGGCCGATCACCCTATTCCCGCCGCCGCCCCCTCCTCCCTCATTTCCTCGACCCCCCGCGCGGGGGCGGCGCCTCGGGTCGCCGCCGAGGTCGCCGTGGGCGGGCAGGGGGCGCCACCCCCGCGCGGCCCAGTGCTTGAGCCAGCGGCGCGGGTGGGGCGAGCGCGGGGGTTCGGCCCCCCCTTCCTCTTCCCCCCCCTCTCCCCTTCTCCTCTCCTCTCCTCTCTCTCCTCCTCTCTCGCTCCTCTCCTCTCCTCTCCTCTCCTCTCCTCCCTTCTCCTTTCTCCCCTCTCCTCTCTCCCCTCTCCTCTCTCCTCTCTCCTCTCGTCGTTTATTCCCTCCTCCCCCCTCCTCTCCTTCCCCTCCTCTCCTCTCCTCATCTCCTCTCCTCTCCTCCCCCGTCCTCCCCTCCCATGTCCTCTCTTCTCGTCTCCTCCCCTCCCCTCCTTAGCCCCCCCCTTCCGCGCCCTCCTCTCCTCTCCTCTCCTCTCCTCTCCAATTCTCTCCTCGTTCTCTCTCATCATTCTCCTCCTCCTCCCTCCTCCTCCTCCTCCCCCTCCTCCTCTTCCTCCTCCTCCTCCTCCTCCTCCTCCTCGTCCTCCTCCTCCTCTTCCCCTCTCCCCTCCTCTCCTCTCTTCCTCCTTCTCCTCCGCCTGCTCCCGTCCTGCCCGTCCTCCTCCTCCTCCTCCTCCTCCTCCTCCTCCGCTTCCCCTCTCCTCTCCTCTCCACTCCCTCTCCTCTCCTCTCTCTCTCTTTTGCCGCCGCTCGGGTTAGCGGCACGGCGCGGGGCGAGCGCGAGCGCGGGGGGTCCTCCCCTCCCCCCTCTCCACCCCCTCCTCTCCCTTCCCCTCCTCGCTCCTCGTCTCTCCTTTCCTCTCTCCCCTCTCCTCTCTCCTCTCTCCTTTCTCCTCCCCTCTCTTCACTTCTCCCCTCCTCCCCCCTCCTCTCCCCTCCCCTCCTCTCCCCTCTCCCCTCTCCCCTCCTCTCCCCCCCTGTCATCCACTCCCCTCCCCTCTCTCCTCGGCGCGGCCCTGGCGGCCCTGTCCTCTTCTCGTCTCCTCTCCTCTTTCCTCTCCTCTTTCCTCTCCTCTTTCCTCTCCTCTCCTCTCCTCTCCTCTCCTCTCCTCTCCTCTCCTCTCATCTCCTTCCTTTTCGGCGCGGGGGGGGCGGGCGCGGCGGGCGGGGGGGCCGAAAAAGAAGGGGAAGGGGCGGTGGAGGGGCGGGCGGGAGTGGCGGGGTGGGCGGAGGCGGCGGAGGATGATTTCAGGGGTGTCCCAGGGAAATAGTGAGGAACGCGGGTTTTAACATCTAAGCCAACCAAGACCGATTGTTCTTAGCCCTCGTGCCAGCTATTTGGTGACCGCCATTGCACTCGCTATGACAACCTCGCGCACCTTTTCCTGCGCCACCGTCACACCCCACGCACCAGCGGCCGCGGCGCCCTTGCACGGAGGAGGAGGAGGAGGAACCAACGTCACGCTCAGCAGCAGCAGCTGGTATATGCGGGCCTTCGCCCGAAACACATTGTGCATATTTCGTGGAAAGCCTTGCGCTCGCAGACCTGTCTCGAAGAAAACTCACTCATCGTACTGTGCGGTGGATGTTGCGAATACAGCTTCGTGGTCACGCTATCCCTGAGGCGAAGGTGGTGACCCCCCTTGCTCCTTTTGGCGGCGCGCACAAGACGGTGGAGGGATGGAGAGGGGCTTCTTAGAAGGAGGCTGCTTCGTAGAAGGCGCCGTTCTTACACCTATAGATAGGACCCGCGCCTCCTAAGAAGCGGGGGTGCGTCTAAGAAGCCCGCCCAACTCCTCCCCACCCCCCTCTGCGCGTGGCTGCTCCTGCCGGGGGAACCACGGCCGCGCGGAGTGCGCGCGGGAGAAATCGGCTGGCCCCGCCGCCGCCAGCGCGCCCGCTGGGCACCCCGAGGCGCGACGAGAAGAGAGAGAGAGGAAAGAGGACTGGAGAGACGGGAGAGCCGCCGCAGGCGAAGATCTCTTTCGGGCTGGGCGACAGGGGGGGATAGCAAAGGGCGGGTTTGAGAATCAGCTCACGTAGCTGATTTTCCTGGCGCCTCCCGGCGCCGGAGGCGGCCATGTATCGAGGAATGGGCCTCTCGGTGGGGCCGAAACCAGCTACATGCAGAACATTTCGTAACCCCCCCTTTCCCTGTCCCCCCCTTTCGTCCGGCCCGACTTTTGTACATTGGGAGACGAGCCCGCCCAGGGCGCCAGACTTTGGGGTCCAAATAACGGGTGGGTCGCGGGTGGATCGCGGGCGGGCCCCGGGCGAAGACGACGACAACAAGCAAACGATGCACACGAACGACAACAATACAGTCGGGGTGGATTGAAGAGGACACGCGGGAGGACACGAGACTCTTCAGAGAGTCACATTGCCAGATGAATGTAGAAGCATGGGTCGCGAGGCACAGGACACAAGGGTACCCTTGATTTGGCAGGGTCGACCTACTAATCCGGCTCGACTGTAATCCTTACCGCGGAATACCACTTCACTGAGGAATGAAAAAACGCCCCTACCAGGGGTTACAAGTGCGTGGTCAGTAAACCTCAAGGGAGCTCCCACAGGCCAGAGGGCCGCCAGGACGCCGCGCGGCACAGCGCCTCGTAAACCAGGGCAGGGGCGTTCTTTACGCTCTTGACTTCAGGCTCGCAGCCAGGGATGGTGGGAGTTGTAAGACCGCTCGACCCCTCACCCCGCTCTAGCACTTACGCTTCGCTTGGGATCAGGGGTGAGACTCAGGCCTGCGGCGGCTCGACTGGCTCAAAAAGGGGTGCCCCCCCTGGACTTCGCCCCCCCCCCCCCCCCGGGGCTCCGCTCGTTGTCCTGGATCGTTCCCTGACGAGGCGCCTGCACGCATGGATCCCCTTCTTGGAGGAGGGAAGAGGACAAGGTAACGTCTCGATCCCAGGCCAGCCACGATACTCTTCCCCACCGCAACAATGAGGGCGCAACGAAGGAGGGCTCCTGAAACGCTCCCCAAACTCTCGGCGATCACGGAATGTGGTCGCAAGCCTCTGGCCCAAGTCGGCACGAGCGCATGGCTGTACTTCTGCAGATTTGGGGTCAACGCACGGGAGGGGGGCGTCGGATCTGCGTGGCTCCCAGGGGGTCAGCCAAAGGGTCGGTGGGAGCCAACTGCCCACCTCACCACGGTGCTGGCCAGACCGGTGCCCGGCCCAAGGTCGGTGTACACAATCTCCCCGGCCAAACCAGCAGGGCGCATACACACCGCTCCCGGGCCCAGGATGGGCATGGCCAGGGTCGGTGAGGTGGATGGTTGACGTCCCCCGAGAGGGGATCATGCAAAGAGGGATTGGCCGACCCTGGTCGGGCCTCTCGACCCCTTGCTACAGCAAGTTCGTGTCGTGACGACCCTGGCGTTGGCTTCTGACAGCGCGTGGATCGATCAATCTTGAACGATCGACGGCTTCTCGACCGCCAGATCGCTCCATGTTGGCCGACTCTGGGCCACTGGTAGCGGTCAACCTTGAACGCCCCCCGCTGGGTCACCGCCGCGTCGCAACGACGCAAATCTGTCGTGCCTAGCGGAAGACACAACTGCATATACATAAACTGCATATGCATATAATTCCGACAGTCCGCGCGGATGTCTTGGATCTGCGCTGGGAGCTCGCCAAGGAATTCAAGCGCAATTGTCGGGGAGACGTAAGACTCGGGTTGGGGGAACTCGGGCTGGCCCGACGGGACCACCATGAAAATGAGCTCCGGCTGCAAACATCCCACGACAACTGGACCGTCAAAATCGAGGACGCGCTCGCCAAGAAGCGCCGGCAAACCCGAGTGCAGGCGCACTCGAGTCTGACGTCTCCCCAAGAATCCCAGCGATTCGCGCCGAGCTCCGAAAACCTGTGACGGCCCCGGGTGCGCTCCTCGCCGGCGTCGATGTCCCGCGCGGCGTAGTAGCGATAGCCTCGGGGGGCCCCGCGGCACTGGCCCGGGCGGGCCCGCTGCCCCGCCCCGCTCCTGCCCCGGCCGCCAACTGGTCTCCTCAATTCTCCTCGGGATCCTCCTCCTCCTCCTTCTCCTCCTCCTTCTCCTCCTCCTACTCGATCCTCCTCCTCCTCGATCCTTCTACTGCTCCTCCTCTTCCTCGATATTCCGCCGCCCTCCTCCGCGATTTCCTCCTCCTCCTCCTCCTCCTCCTCCTCCTTCTCTTGATTCTCATCGACTCGACCCTCCTCCGAGTCCTTCTCCTCCTCCTCCTCTTCCTCCTCCTCCTCCTCCTCTTCCTAAGCTGGCATTCACAATCGGCAAATAACAACAAAAAAATGCAGCCTCTCAAGCACCAGATGTATTCGGTGGCGGAGATTCTCGATGCTTTGCTACTCCTGAGCCCTTCCGAGGGCGCTCTTTGGTGCGGGTTTCGAGGGGAATCCAGCTGCGGCGACTGGAGGCGTGCACGGACGTGTCCAATAACCACGATTCTGAACCCCCCTGGGCCCCTGAGTGGACCCTCGTGGGTAGAGCATTCACATGCGTGTATGTATCGTGCGTGTTTTGTCTGCATGTTCGCTTGCCTCTGGCGAGGAAAAGAGGGAGCGGGCGCCCCCCTCACCTGGAGCCCAATCTGCACGATGGGAATCCACCTGCGGCGACTGGAGGCATGCACAGACGTGTCCGAAAACCACGACTCTGAAACCCCCCTCCACGTCTGGGAAACCACAGGCCCAGACACCCAACGATGTGAACGTTCAGCCCTGGGCCCTCGAGACCCCCGAGTCCTCCCCCAGGGAAGAGGCACTCTTCAGCTCGTGATGTGTTTGTTGCCCCCGGGTCCCCCCACCCAAAGAACATCCTCAAACATGTGCCCTCAGGAACTGAGGGAGTCCTTCTGATCGGCACCGAGGTAAGGCGATGCCAAACTTAGGAATAGGGCACATTGAAAGCTGGTAACCCTTGAGGGTATTTAGCACCTCCCCCCCATAGGGGGTAACTAACTATTTGATCGGCGGCGGGATTCAAGGACTGGCGTCCCACCAGCATGGGGTAACTCACTATTTTTCCCGCGGCACACGCCGCGCATCAGCAGCAGCAGCAGCAGCAGCAATAGCAGCAGCAGCACCACCACCCGCAGCAGCAACAGGAGGAGGAGGAGGAGGAGGAGGAGGAAGAGGAAGAGGAAGAGGGGGAGGGGGAGCGGGGAGAGGAGGAGGAGGAAACGGCTTTCGGACCAGTCCTCTTCACCGCCCAGTGCAAAGGGGGGGGGGGTCAAAATTACAGACTTCTGGAGGTCAACCTGGGGACCAGTCCACCCCGAGGCTGGGGGCGCGCAAACATGGATTAGCGATCCATGGATTTGGCGCGCAGTCGCCAAATCCATGGATCAGGCTAGGTGCCCCCCCCGAAATGCGGCTGGTGCCGCCTCGTTTGGCGGCGGAAATCCGCGATTTCCCATGGAAACGGGATCGGTCGCGAACCCACGCCCCCTTGATCCATGTCTGCGATCGCCTGAGTTAACATGAGGACCAATCCACCCCGAGGTCCATCCTGGCCAGCTCTCCCCCCTGGACCGATCCCCCGCACGGCCCCTGGGGGGGGGCCCAGAGGCGGCCTCCAGAGAGGCCGAAGGCTGCCGCCAACAAAACAGCGGTCCTCGAGCGCAACTGCTGGACCGATGACCTTTTTAGCCGGCGGCGAGCCCGGGGGGAAGTGTCAGGGGCTGGCCTTCTTGGAGGCGCGCGCCAGCTCCCCCTTAGCCCCCCCCCCTGAGAAGGCTTCCCCCCCCCCCCCCCTACCCCCTCCCCCTTACCCCCCCCCCCCCCCCCCGAGAAGGCTTCCCCCTCCCCCTACCCCCCCTACCCTACCCCCCTAACCCCCCTTCCCCCTACCCCCTTACGCGCCTTCTAAGAAGCAGGGGCTGGCCTTTTGAGAATTGGGCGCGACTTCGTGGGCGTCGGTTCATGGGGGGAGAAGAAAAGGGTCCAGGTCCTACAGGCCTTCTCTGGGCCCCTAAACGGCATGTTTAGGGGCCCGGGGCAATAAAGGGTGCCCCTTTTCGGCAACCCTCGCTGCACCCCATCTATTGCTCGCCCCATTGTGAATTCGCGCCCAACAGAAGGCTCAAAAATATTACGGCCTTCTGAGAAGCTCTCTCAGCCTCCCCTGAAGACACAGGACACTTCTCAGAAGGCCAGACGGCTTCTGAGAAGCACCGCCTCCTGCAAAGCCTTCTCCAGCTTACTTACCCCCCTCGCTCGACGCCGAGAGGTGTTCCTGTGTGAACGCGGGGCCCCCGAAGTCACGACCCCTCCTCGCGGGCCTGCGTTTTTCCTACTGAATCGTGCTCTGACAGTCCAGGTGGCCCGGCAGAGGGCCCTGGAGGCAGAAAGGCACAGCAGCAATATGTCAAGACTGCCAACATGTACGCCACGAACCCTCAGTACCCGGCCGATTTGTTTTACATCAAAGCACCCCGTCGTGACCATGCGAATGTCACTCACGACTCGAAACGGTCTGGGCCCTCGATGCCTGGAGACATCCATCGGGGTCGCGCCAACTTGCCAGACCAGGCCAGGGTCAGCCAAGGCCACGTTGCGAACTCAAGCCCGCCACGGAGCAGCTCTGGAGCCTGGGCCGGCGGAGGGCGACGTGGTGGTCGTAGGAACAAAGGGAAGCGGCACCACCACCACCAGGGATCATCGGCGGGAGGAGCCAGATGGAGTCCCTTTGGTGGTGTGGTCCTCACTCTCACTCAAGATGTCCCCTATCCCCAGCTCTAGGAGGCATCGTCGACCTCCTCGCTGGAGGTGGCCCCCCTGGTGGTGTTTATGCCCAGTTCCTGCCCCCGAAGTCGGCTCCACGTGGCTCCCAACCTGGCTCGCCTCAGACTGGATTGGCTGACCATAGAAGGACTCCTGGCCCTTCGGGAGACGACCTAAGTTGGGAGGTCCTGGAACATCAGCTATAAGGAGGTCTTTTCTGCAGATGTACCAGGCCAGATCGCCCAGACATAGAATCCTAAACGCGACGATGGGGTCCTCAGTGAGGCCACGTCTCCATCGTGTTAATTATCAGGGTTAAGGAAGTTAGTTTGTTCGCGATGATCCGGGCCGCGTGGTCCTGACTACCTACCAGACCACCCCAACCCAACCCGAAGACTCGAATTTCGGGTTGGGGGGGGTATGGGCTCCATATGTGTTTTTTCGGTGTTCTCCGACCACCCCACTGGAAATGGAGGGCAAATTGAGGCCTTCGGGTTGGCCTGGGGTGGTTTGGTGGGTGGTGAGGTCCGCGACTCCAGAAACCCTAGATCGGGCCGAGCGCGGCCGCGCGGATCGCGGGCCGCCCTGGGGCGGCGACACGCCCCCCGCAGCGCGTCGGCCGCGCCGGGCCCCGCGTCGACGGCGCCTCGGCCGCCCCCCCCCGCGCGCGCGGACGGGGGCGAGGCGAGCCGAACCGAGCGCCAAACCCGCTCCGAGCGCGCGCCCGGAGCGCCTCCTCTAGAAGGAGGGCAGGCCCAGCAGGAGTAGTGAGTCCAGCGTGCGGTGGGGAGGGGGAGGAGCGTAGAAGATGTTGGTAGTCGCAGTGTGACACATATATATATATACATATATATAGCTGTGTGTATATATATACCTATATGTATATACACACACCTATATACATATGTATGAATTTATGTGATTATATATATACATATATATCGACCCACCATTCGCAAGAGGAGGTGGCTGATCCCCGCAGTCTGAACGTGTTGCTTGCCCCGCAGGCCCCAACATAAGGCAAAGGCAGCTGCCTCAGCTCGGCGGCGGGATTGGCAGCACATTTGCCGCGCAGGTTACGCACTTACAGTGTCACTTCGATGGTCGGATCATGCTGTGGTGTGGGTTGCTTCTCGGCAAAGAAATCTCATACGATGTGACGTGTTTGAACCCGGCGTCTTTCTCGATCTCGGCCTCTTAAGCCCACTGGATCCCCTGGCCCACGATCTAGCCCCAAGCCCACTATCGAGCCCTTAGCACAATATCGAGCCCCTGGATCCGGGCGACCCACTACCCCCGTCGCAACGGTCGGGCCTTCTTGGGCCGCACATTGCAGGATCACATCGTCGGCTGGGGTCCGAGTTTAGTAGGAGCTCGACCACCAGAACCTTCTGCAACAAACCCAACCCTGAAACCCCAGGACGTCCATTGATCTTTGGTGTGGGAACGTCACGGTTTCCAAAGCAAAACCAACGAAACCCAAGAAACCCGGGGCACCCTGGAAGCAAGCAGGGTGTTTCTGGGCATGGGCTTCCAATGTAGAGGCGGAAGGAGGATCGCGCTACATCGCCGAGGAGTCGGCGATGCACGGGCGACGTCGGCGCGGAGAAGATCGGGCTCCAGCTCGCGCCGTATCGCCGGCACGTCGGCGACGGGGTGCCCTCCTCTGACGCCACCTACTGTGGGCGGCGTGGAGGGAGAGGGGCTCCATTTTGGGCGGACTGGGGGGCGACGGGGAAGGGAAGGAGGAGACGAGGGCTCAATCCCGCCGATTTTCCTTCGTTTCGGTGTCGAGGCCCGTCTCCCGGCCCAAGGGCCAACAGAAATGGATCGGGACGAAGAGCTATCCCCCTGAGGAAGGAGTCGAGGCGAAGGAGGATGAGGAGGCGGGACGGGGATGAGGGGGAACCTCCTCCTCATCCTTCCTTCTTGCTTGTCTGCTCCTCCTACCCTTGGGACGGGCACATCTCCTTTCTTCCCCTCCTCCGCTTATGCTGTCCTCCCTCGTGTTCCTACTCTGTCTTCCCACCTTTTCCTCCTCGGGTTAGGGGATGGAAGATAAATCACAAGGGTAAGCCCAAGCGGCATCACCAATGCAGATGACCAAGGGGAGAAGAGGGAGACGGGAGAGGGGTGCCAGGTGAATGGGGGGGGAGCTCGAAGACGAAACAGAGGCAGGAGAAGGAGTGAGCAACAGGAGGCACGGATGAGGAGCGCGACGAGAGAAGGGAAGAGAGGAGAGGAGGACGCGATAAGGAGGGACAAGGAGGTAGAGAGGGGAACATGGAGGAGTAAGAAAAGGAGGCGAGGAAGAGGAACGATGACGAATGACGGAAGGGCCGGATGAAGATGGGTAGGAAGAGAGAAAGAGGAGAAAGATGACGGAAAAGCCAGAGGAGGGCAGGAGGAGGGAGGGGAAGGACGAGGAGAGGGAGGACGAGGTGGGAAGAGGGAGTGATTGAATGAAAGGAGGCACTGCGCGCGACGCACGTGCGCGACGCACGTGCGTGGAAGGGACAATTGGAGGAGGACGAGGGGGAGGAGGTGCAGGAGGGTCCTTCCTCGGGCTCCTCCACCTCTTTTCCTCTCAGTGCCCTCTTTCCCTCATTCCATCTTCCTCCCCCCTCCTCTCTGCTCAATCCTCCCTTCGCCGCTCCCTCTAGCGAATACCTGCTCCGTCCGCCCGCCCTCCCTCCTCCCTTTTTGCTCTGTCCTCCCTGCTCTGTCCTCCCTCCCCCCTCCCCGTTCTATCCTCCCTCCGTCCCCCCTTTACCCACTTACCGCCCACAGTGGCCGCCATCTATTTTCCATCCCCACCTTCCTCTGGCCTTCTGCCGCCCCCCCCCCCGTCTCCGCAGCCTCCGCGGCGAACGGCAATCAGAGCGAACCCCGCCAGCCTCCCGCGACAGAGCAATCCCCGAGGATGGGGCCGACCGCACGGGACCGGCGCCGAAGAGGCGGCTCCAGGTCGGGCGTTGGCAGAATTGGGTTTCATGGAACCTGGTTTAGTGATGTATACTGGGGGACCCCCCCCGCCCCGTTCCACTAACCGGAACCGCCGTCACCCGACGAAAACACCAGCTACGGCAGACCCGGTTTCGTGATTCTAGCTAATTCGAAGGCTCCGGGTACCCTTCATCGGGGCCGTGGCTATACCCGATCAGGATATGGCCCACGCGGGAAGAAGAGAAAACGGCTGAACAAAAAAAACCTGCCGAACTTCCGCGCGTATTCCTGAGGCCGGCTCCGGGCCCCCCCGACCTTTCTGGCGCGCGGAGCGCGCCGGGGGCGGCGCCGGAAGCGACGCGAGGGGGGCCGCGCTCGCCGACGCAAAAAAAATCCGCGTGGAGTTCCAACAACGATCTTCTCAGCAAATGGCCCATGGCGACGCACCGAACTCCTGAATCGAACGCTGGCGTCTTTCTGGGTTGCCCCCCTTTGCCTCGGCCAGCCCCCGCCGGCGTTGTCGTTCCGCCGGCCTGAACCGGCGGAGCTGCCTTCGCTATACGGTCCCGCCTGTCCTCGGCTCGCTTGTCGCCGGGGAGGAGGCGTCGTCCGCCCGACCCTTCGAGGGATCGCTGAGCAGCAGCAACAAAGCATGAAAGCCCTGGCCACGTCGCCCAGCCTGCCGATCGCGCACCAGCTCGGGGACCCAGGCCGCCGCGGGCCCGCAAAAGACAGGGCGCGCGCGGGGCACGCCACGGGCCACAGGGGCATTCCCGACGTTAAAGCGCTGCAGAGAGTAACGGGGCGCCGATGCACCCAGTCATAATTTCGCGCAGCCAACGCAGAGGGCGCAGCCTCCCTGAGACCCGCACGGGATCGCCCCGAGCTGCGCGAGCATGCAGCAACAGCCACACGGGCGCCCCCGCTCTGACACGGCCGAACGCGCCAGGAGCAAGGGCACCAACAAGCACCAGTTGCGCACAGTCGTTGCTCTTACAGCGGGCGCGACGCCAAGAAGAGGGTTCGCCTGGGCGCCGCGCGCGACTCTGGACGTCCCGCGCGGCTCAAAACGCGCCCCAAGAACGCCCAGCGGCCGATGGCTTGAGCCAACTTGGCAACGTCAGAGGATATGGCCCATGGCTTCCACAGGTATGGCAATGGCTTGAACACTGGCAAGCCCTGGTAGTCTTGACACGCGAGGGGAACCAGGGATGAGGCTGAACGCTCTCAACGTCTGGCTCAATTTGAAAATCCGTCGCCGAATCATGCGCGTGGCAACTGCATATGATCACAACTCCTCCATCCTGGAACATCCGATGCGTCGGTTGGCTCGCTCTGGCCGGGGGAGAAAGCGCAACGGCGCCGCAAAGACTCGCGGTTACAGACTCGCGGTGTGAAATCTCGCGCGGCATCGAACACAATTGCTGCGCGGCGCCTGGCGATCTTTGCGCGGAAATGTTTGGATATATATATATATATATATATATATATATGTATACATATATATATATATATATATATATATATGTATATGTTGGTTCTGACTTGGTCATGTGCTCGTTATCCACCACCGTGCCCCTACGTTGAGGCGCTAAGGCACGTCCCTGGCGGTCCCAAGAAGGACCTGACTGAGAAGCCACTTAGGCCGCCCAAATGGTCCAATATGCCTCCAGACAATCGAAGATAGCCCAAAGAAGCCCCGCAAGCGCTCCAGGAGGACCCACACGAGGACACCAAGAGGCAATCATCAATGCTGTTCGTTGTTTTTTCACAGCATCACCTTTTCAAGCTTCCGACTTTCCAAGACGGCCACAGGGGCCCCCAAGGAAGCCCCAAAACGGCCCAAGAGGCCCCCAAGAGGGCCACTGGACGGCCCGAGACAGTCCCCAAACTGCCCAAGAGGCGCCCAAATCAGCCCGAGAGAGCATCAAAACGGCCCAAAGAAGGGCCCGAAAGGAAGAACACGAACCGACAATCCCAGTCGTCCGCCCGAAGAGGCCCCCAGGAGACTCCAAGAAGCTTCCAGGGAGCCCCCAGAGGCCCCCATGAGGCCGCAAGACGGCTCCCAAGAGGCCTCAAAATTGCTTCCAGCAAGTCCCCCAGAGGGCCTCCATGATATCCCAACGATTCGCATATTAATCATCAGCATCAGCATCAGCATCAGCATCGGCATCGGCATCAGCATCAGCATCAGCATCAGCATCAGCATCAGCATCAGCATCAGCATCAGCATCATCATCATCATCATCATCATCATCATCATCATCATCAGCATCATCGCCAGCATCGTCAGTAGCATCATCATTTTCATCATCATCATCATCATCATCATCATCATCATCATCATCATAATCATCATCATCACCATCATCACCAGCAACATCAGCATCATCATCATCATATTCATCATCATCAGCATCAACATAAACCTCAGCATCAGCAACATCATCATCACCATCTTCATCAGCATCGTCACCATCCTCATCCTCATCCTCATCATCAACATCAAAATCATCACCATCGTCCTCATCAGCATCAGCAGCATCATCATTAGCATCACCATCATCAGCATCAGCATCATCATCAGCAACAGCATCACCATCATCAGCAACAGCAGCATCAGCAGCATGGCCATCATGATCACCATCATTATCAGCAACATCACAACCATCATCGATAGCAGAATGGTCATCCCTCGCA